TGTGTGTGGTGTGTGTGGTGTGGTGTGTGTGTGTGGGGTGTGGGGTGTGTGTATGTGTTGTGGTGTGTGTTTGTGTGTGTGTGTGTGTGTTTGTGTTTGTGTGTGTGGTGTGTGTGTGGGTGTGGTGTGGGGGTGTGTGTGTGTGGGGTGTGTGTGTGTGTGTGGTGTGTGTGTGTGTGTATGTGTGTGTGTGTGGTGTTTTTGGTGTGTGTGTGTTTGTGTGTAGGTGTGTGTGTATGTGGGGTGTGTGTGTGTGTGGTGTGTGTGTGTGTGTGTGAGGGTGTGTCTACCCTGTGTGGTGTGCTTGTGTGTGAGGGAGGGGGTTAGGGGGTAGGTTGTGTGGTTGAAAGATCCGTCGTGTAGGCACAAATTTTGTCTCTTTATCTTTCCCAATTATCTACTCCTCCACTTATTGCCCTTTCGGGATTTACGTATTAATTGTTGCTGGTTATTATGATTTTCCTTGTTCACATTGAGAGAGGACTTCCTAGCCTCCTAAGTATTCTACTGCTAATAACTACCGGTAGTAACACTCCCCTGTGTGCGTGTATGCATGTGTGTGTGTGTGTGTGTGTGTGTGGTGTGTTGGGTGTGTGTGGTGTGAGAGTCTTGTGCGGTTAATGACGGGCTGCAACTTCTTGTGACCTGACACAAACCCTCCGGGGACCTACCCTAGCACCGTCTTACAATGTTGCCCTTAAAAGCTTGTCCCACCTACCTTCTCACACTCGTCAACACTATATTCTCTATGCCCTATGCTATTTCTATTCTAATTCTGGTAATAGTTGCAAGGGGGGTGACCAGTATCAAACAGTATGCAAGGCCAGCCAGGGGCCCTCAAAATGCAAACCACAAATAGGCGAATAAACTTGCGGTGACAGTTGCCTGCTGGGTGATGACGAAGTCGTCGTCGTAGGCCTTAAATCCCTATTTTGGAGATCCTTCCACCCGTGATGTTATAACCATATATTTTCATACATCCCGCTTCCTCACGCGATTCACATCTTTACTGATGATTATATACACTTCACATTATATACACTTCACTTTAATATGTATAATGGCACACAACTTGTCGTGACCTCACTTCTTCAGGCCTACCGCTACCAATGTGGCAACAGCGCCTAAGACCCCCAACGGTTTGCGCTTTGAAATATTATGATTTCAGCTTTCCTCTCACTTTCTTTAACTAATAACTTTAATTATCACTCGTAGTATTGTTCACTGACGTTCCACTACCACTGATTACTGCTAACTGTTATTGCACGCCATACAACGCTAAGGATCTCGGAGCCTTGTTACCCACGTCTTCACCCCACGGACCCACGTGTGTGTGTGTATTTGTGTGCGCGTGCGTGTGTGGGTTTGTACTTTAACGTTGTACATGTATGCTCATTTGTATTTCTACATTATGGATGGATTGTGCATATATTCGCACAATACAGACATCTAAAAATATTATCAAAGTGAGGTATGTTTACATCCAAGAAAGTCCTGCTACACTAAATGCTTTTCTAAATCACGAGCTCAGCTGGAATTCCCGAGAATTTCCGAGAATTCCCGGAATGTAGCAATAGGAGAGAATAACAGACGTAAGCATCCCAGTGTGTTATTATCCGTGATATTACTGTTTTCCGTGAGGATGCATGGTGGGAATTTTTCCTTAATATTGTCGAATGAGTTAAGCACCATTTAGCGCCAATGTCGTGCCGAATAGGTAAAACTTGCGATTTTGGCTTAAATAACAACGCATTTCTTGCCGGTTAGAGCAAGCGAAAATTTGTGTATGCAGTAATTTCGCAAAAATCATTCTGAATCTAACGAAAAAATATATATATTTCATTGTGTTTGTTATTATTAAATTATTATAAACTTATATAAAATATATTTAGTTGGATTAGGTTAAATTAAATTGCGCTTGTTATAATAAGGTTAGGTAAATTTCCTAAGGTTCTTTTGGCACAAAGTCATTAATTTTTATATTAACATGAAAGAAAAAATATATCTTTAAATGTATAAGAAAATTTTATTGAAAGGATTTAAATTTAAATAAGTTCTTGCTAACTGAACAGTTTTACCAATTCGGCACGACATCAACAAGTCCTAAGAAAAACAAGCATAAAATGATTGATTTTTGGACCAAACCTAACTCAGAAACCTCACATAAGTAAATTTTAACTAGCATAAATTTTTATAGCAAAATTCTGCTATGTATGGAATAGGTCAGTTTAAACAGAGTAGGCGAGTTAATAGATGGAGAGATGGAGGTATTGAGTAGATGGCTGGAATATATTGAGGAACATTTAAATGTCGATGAAGAAAGGGAGGCAGTAATCTTATGTGCTGGCCAGGGAGGTATAACATCTTTTAGGAGTAGGGAAGAGCTGGGTGTAAGTGTGAGGGAGGTGCGTGAGGCATTACTTAGAATGAAGGGGGGTAAAGCAGCTGGAACTGTCGGGATCGTGACAGAAATGTTAAAAGCATTGGGAGATATAGTATTAGAGTGGTTGATATTTTAGTTTAATAATTGTATGTAAGAGGGGAAGTACATAGGGAGTGACAGAGAGCATGTATAGTTCCTTTATATATAGGGAAAGGAGTCAAAAGAAATTGTAAAACTTATAGGGGAATAAGTTTAATGAGTATACCAGGAAAAGTGTACAGTAGAGTTATTATTGAAAGAAATAGAGGTAAGATAGAGAGTAGGATTGCGGATGAGCAAGGAGGTTTTAGAGTTGGTAGGGGATGTGTGGATCAAGTGTTTATATTGAAGCATATATGTGAACAGTATTTAGATAAAGGTAGGGAAATTTTCATTGGATTTATGGATTTAGAAAAGGCATATGATAGAGTGGATAGGGAAGCAATGTGGCAGATGTTGCAAGTGTTTGGAATACATAGTAAAGCTACTAAGTGCTGTAAATAGATTTTATGAGGATAGTGAGGCTCAGGTTAGGGTGTGTAGGAGAGAGGGAGACTTCGTCCAAGTAAAAGTAGGTCTTTAACAGGGATGAGTAATGTCATCTTTATTAACACATTTATAGATAGGGTTGTAAAAGAAGTAAATGCTAGGGTGTTGGGGAGAGGGGAGGGATTAAATTATGGGGAATCAAAAACAAAATAGGAGTTGAGAGAGTTACTTTTTGGTGATGATACTGTGCTTTTGGGGATTCTAAAGAAAAGTTGCTAATGTTAGTGGACGAGTTTGGGAGGGTGTGTAAAGGTAGAAAGTTGAAAGTGAACATAGACAAGAATAGGGTAATGAGGGTATCAAATGATTTAGATAAAGAAAGAATGGATATCACATTAGAGGGAGGAAGTATGGAAAATTTTTCAGATATTAGGGATTTGACTTGTCAGTGGATGGGTTTATGAAGGATGAGGTAAACCATAAAACTGATGAGAGGAAAAAAGGGTGAGTGGTGTGTTGAGGTATCTGTGGAGACAAAAAACGTTATCTATGGAGGCAAAGAGAATGTACAAGAGTATAGTGGTACCAACACTCTCATATGGGTGTGAAGCTTGGGTTGTAAATGCTGCAGGAATGAGGAGGCAGTGGACATGTCCTGTCTACGGGCAATGTGTGGTGTAAATATGCAGAAAATTCGTAGTGTGGAAATTAGGAGGAAGAGTGGAGTAACTAAAAGTATTAGTCAGAGGACTGAAGAGGGGCTGTTGGTCATTTAGAGAGAATGGAACAAAGTAGAATGAATTGGAGAGCGTATAAATCTGTTGGGGAAGGAAGGCGGGGTTGGGTGTCGTCCCCGAAGAGGTTGGAGGGAGGGCGTAAAGGAGGTTTTGTGGGCGAGGGGCTTGGACCTCCAGCAAGCATACGTGAGTTTGTTAAATAGGAGTGAATGGAGAGGAATGGCTTTTGGGACCTGACTAGCTGTTGGAGTGTGAGCAGGGTAATATTTTGTGAAGGGATTCAGGGAAACCATTTAGCCGGACTTGAGCCCTGGAAATGGGAAATACAGTGCCTGCACTTTGAAGGAAGGGTTTTGGAATGTTGGCAGTTTGGAGGGGTAATAAAATCGTCTAAGCTGTTGTATCTGAGCGTTGAATGATGAAAGTTTTTTGGTGTGTACTAAATATATATATATATATATATATATATATATAATATATATAATATATATAATATATATATATATATATATATATATGTGTGTGTGTGTATATATATATATATATATATATATATATATATATATATATATATATATATATATATATATATATATATATATATATATATCGTTAACAGAACTGTGGCTGGGGACTCGATCCTGCATTTCCATGCCCAGCCCTGTGAGAACAGGACACGGTATGGAGAATTTAGCTAAAAAAAAAAAAAACTGCGTAACTTTTATGGAGGTTTTGGTCCAAATATAAAAATTATTATACCATTGTTAATGAAAAAAATAGCTATCAATCTGTAGAATTTTTTTTTTTGGAAAAGTTTAATTTTTTATGGGAGGAAAATAGGCTTGTTTCCTATTTTCACTGTATTTTTTTCGTATTTGCAATCATGCATTTTACTGTGATTTCTACTATATAATACAATACAGCCGCAAACAGGAGATCTTAGCAATGAACAACAAGATACATGGTAATGGAAATCTTTAGTTCTAGATCTTTCACACACTCGTGTATCGTCAGGAACTATGATTTTTGCAAGAGGAAAGAGGGGAATTTCTCTGAGGCAAGGCAGAAGGCGTCATGATACCTTCTGCGTTGCCTCAGAGAATTTCCCCTCTTATCTGTTGCTGACTTGTAACATTGCATAGCTCCTGAAGACGCACGAATGTTCGAGAGATCTAGAGCTAAAGCTTTTCATCCCCATGTGGCTTGTTCTACATATATATATAATATATTAGTGCACTGTAGCTATGAAAGGTTCTGTCTCTGTTTACTGACATTCAACCTAGTTTCAAGATATGCTTCGTCCCCACTGTTTTAACGAAAAATTTACACTTGCGCTTTTTTCTTTTAGGGTCGTTTCAGTAGGTCAGTGGGAGACCTGAGTCGTGGCGTTGGTGAGGTCGGCGATGAAGTAGTGCTTAACCTCGTGAGTAGCCAGACTAGAGGCTCCTCCTCCTCGATCTTCAAGTCGTCGAAAACTAGATTGAGATCAAGCGGGGAGCTTGAAGAAGAATTTGATCTTATTTTAGACAATGAAGTCGAACACGAACCCTCGAATTATTCGTCAGTGTCGTCGTCGGCACCTACTACTGCAGCATCAAGGGTGACCCATAGGCGCTGCGCCGCTCCTGAAGAGGAACTGCAGCTCGTTATCAAAGATGAAGACCATGAAGGGTCGTCACACAGGGCTAAGTCATCACGATCTTCAAAGCTGAGACGAGGTGGCGGACAAGCAGAGGAATTTATTAGTTTAGATGATGACGAGGTACAGACGGCTTCACAATATGCCAGGTCATCTAGAGTGATCAGTGCCTTACCAAACTACAATCAACAACCTCCCCTTAATATAATAATCGGCCATAATGTACAGAATACTGCTAAAAACAACAACGATAACTTCTACGATGAAGAGGCCCTTGATGATATCGTCATTGAAGACTTGAGAACGGGAATACAGTCTCGCTTAGAGTCAAAGAAGGGAAAGGGTATCGGTGGGAGGGTGAAGGACAAGTTATTTCCTAACCGGCATCTGCCCAAGAAGAAGAAAATGAACAGGGTTAAAAAGGCCGAAAAATTTGTTGATTCCATCATGGTTGAGGATCTAGACAATCAGGGCCGCGTGACACCAGTGTTTGTTGATGAGGAAGATCTCACTCATGACGAATTTGCCCAAAAGAGAAAAGACATACTGAAAAACCCACCAAAGAATTATTTAGAAGGAGAAGTAGAGGTCATCACCTTGGATAGTTCATCACCATCCACTTCCCAGGAAAGCCAGATGGAAGCCTTACACGTGATAGATGAACGAAGAAAACACGCCCATAAAAGAAAAGAAGAAAAAAGAACAGCGATGAGGCTCGAGGGTATCGAAGAAGAGTCGCCGGATCGTAGCGTAATTCAAACACAGGAACAGCCTCAAAGGACTGTCCTCTCGCCAGAAGAATATGAAGATTACATTGGAGAAGCAGTTGAGAAGGACTATCCTGAGTTAGCAGGGAGGACGGATGCTGAACTGCCTCTTGCAGTTCAACAGCAAGACCAGCAGGTGAAGCAGGAACAGCAAGTACTCGAACAGGAACCGCGAGAAGAGCAGCCTCAACAGGATGAGACCAAGCACCAACCCACGGGTCCTCTCTCAGGTTCGGCCTCAATGAACTTCATGGACGACCACAGCCCGACGAGCAACGGTAATGGAGACTTTTACCACCGATGTGTTGCAAAATATCCCAAAGATCCCCCTAGGCAGGCCTGTGGTAGCTTTAGCGTAGAGGCAAAGTATCTTTTGACTAGTGAAGTGGACCGTAGAAACGAGATATGTAGAAATAGCACCGAAACAAATTTGCTAAATAATAATGAGAGTATCAATAGTTTTGCTACCCAATTTAGGACTAGCTGTGTTGCGAGTAATTATGTGAGTGATAATAGGAAACCTATGAGAACTACAAGTGTTAGCAGTTCGACTAGTGCCTCTGCCAATGAATCAAGGAACAACAGTACAAGCGCTTCAGAACACAGTAGTATGTCTATAAGTACTGGTAGTATGTCTAGTAATTTGTCGAATGTCAACAAAAACAGATCAAACCTCTTTTTACCAACGAGTACAACGAGCTTGCCCGAAATCTCCATAGAACCCCCAACTCCACAAGCTCCCAAACCAAAGGATGGCTTTGATCGGGAGAGCAAAGTCAAGTATGACCTTAGAGTACCTGGCTATAGAAGTATGTTTCTCACAGTACCTGGCTTTGACGATAGTGACAGGTATCTTCCCAAATATTCTTTTGATAGTGATGATGAAGAACAAAGTAGTAGTGATGACGATGTTGTGCACAAACCTAGTGTCTTCGCCTCCCTCGCAGGTATAGAAGAGAGCCGTGGCCTTAAACGGTATGGGAGTAGCTGTGACATCGCTAAATTTGGCATAACGACGGAAGAGCCGACTTATTCCCATGAAGACGACTTGAATGCTAACTTTGAAATTAGTGCTCGTAAGTCAAAAGTCGGATCAACGGGGATTGGGCCTTTCGTAGCTGGAAAATTGGCAGTCTTTGAAAAAGTCGCTGAAGAGGAGCATCAGAAATTCATCGAGTGTCAGGAGGTGCGAAAGCGTATATTCCGGACTCCGAAGAAGAGTGGAGAATATATCGAAAAGTTCTACAGCCCCAAAGTGATTGAGACGATTGACGCTAGAGGGAGTGTTAGGAGCAGAAACCTGCGATACTACGATGATGAATACGACGATTACAACAATCACAGATCCCCAACACCAACAGAGATGATGACACCGTATGGCGGACATTCAAGCCCACAAAACCTCTCAAAACACCCCCCATCTATTAATATTTACCCGAGCAGCGACTGTAACCCTGAAAGGTCCCATTCACCCTCTCCAGATTATATTGCAGCGTCATACGATAATGATGACTTTGAAGCTTATGATTATTTGGGTGATCGACCACGAACAGCAACACCTATGAGTGAGAAGAGAGAAAACAGCCAAGTCTCTCCAGTGCCTCACTCGACCACTGATCACAGCAACTACTGGCAGTCAACGGAATACCGTGACATCGGTCTATCGCAGACGTCTTCTCCCGGGCCAAGCACCTCTCAGCCTCTCAGCACCAAGGATATCATCGATCAGCGCACAGAAGAGGTACAGATTTACCTAGAATGTTGCTGAACTTGCTCATAACTATTTAATTAATAGAATAAAGAGCTCCGCTGTACTTTCTATCGAAGACTTAGTAAATATTGCTAATTATAGTTTACCTGCCATACTTTTAAGGGAGTGTAGCACAAGTAGCATCTTAATGTATGTTGTAAACTTATCTGTATTTCTTTCCGTCCTAAGTTCTTTGCCATAGGGCAGATGTACTAAATTAACTTACCTCTACTAGATTCTCTACTTCTTAGGTAATCAATCTTAAACACTTCTATGTCCTACGATCGATTCTCCCTTATTCTCTCTATTCTATACCCTATGATATCTAGGCTCATTGTTGCTAAAAATCCTTTCTTCCAATTTGGTTCTCTCAGTATTAAGTCATTTCGTACTCGTTTACATTTTTTATTTAAGTTCTCCTCTTTCCTATACCTCCTGGAGGCCTAGCTTTTCTCCTGCATTGGTGTCGTTACTTGCTAACCCATCTACTGCACATTCCTGCAGGTGTTAGAGATGCTGGACAACAGCTACTCAGATATGTTACCTGAAGATGCTGGACCGAGTCACTACAACACTTCCGCTTGGCAGGACGAAGATGATGCTGGTGGCGCTGTCGCAGGTCAGTCCTCGTCTCCTTCCCTCTACCCTTATAAATGTCATGTTTTCGTGAAGTACTGAATCCATCGATATACGTATGTTAGCGCAGGCAGCAGTTGAGCATAAGTCTCAGTCCGATTTTCGCGAGACATTTGCATTCAGGCATTCACCGCCCCTCAATCCATCCATTTCAGGCTTGACAGTGTATAATGTTTCTGACGTGCATGAAGAATGTTGTAGTTCATTATAATATAACTATTGCTTAATTTCCATTGCGCAGTAAGATTTTTTTATAATGTAATAAATGCGCGAATTTTACAAAATTTTTGCACTTGCGTATGACTCCGCAAACATCAACAATTATATAAACTTAATAGTAAAATATGCAGAAACTCTAGACAAACATTCTAGTTTTTCATGAATATTCAGTATTTTCCGTATTATTCTTGGAAGTTATTAGCGTTACATTTTAATAGATATAACAATGTTTGTATGAGTTTTGTTGCAGAGTAATTGTCTTGATTTTATTTACTGAATTCCACCAAACGTAGCAACAGTATACGAGGTGTTCTAGTGGTCATTCAAATTCACATTAATATTATATATATATATATATATATATATATATATATATATATATATATATATATATAATATATATATATATATATATATATGCAAAACAACCACTGTGAAAGAATAGAGGAATTCCAAGCGCTTTCGTGACTACTCACATTATCAAGGAACAATAATATGAGTAGTCACGAAAGCGCTTGGAATTTCTCTATTCTTTCACAGTGGTTGTTTTGCATATTCTGAAATCACCTGTTTCACAATACACAAATAACCCGCACATAAAAGAGAGAAGCTTACGACGACGGTTCGAGTCCGACTTGGACCATTAACAAAGTCACACTAGTGTGACTTTGTCAGTGGTCCAAGTCGGACCGAAACGTCGTCGTAAGCTTCTCTCTTTTATGTGCGGGTTATTTGTGTATCGTTCCAGTCACGGTATTGTGCCTTTTTGTTATTTATCACCTTTTACTGTGATCTTATTGTGTTGTATATATATATATATATATATATTATATATATATAATATATATATATATATATATATATATATATATATATATATATATATATATCAGACATTGTGTAACTAATATAATAGTTAAAACAATGAGCTACACCCGTGTGAGTCATTCAGCACAAGGAGTTCGTCACAATAGTAGGTAGTTTGTCAGCTAAAGGCGAGACGGACTACTTAATATTGTGGGATGGTCACACCTGTGACACCCATCTAGCTGGTTACAGGTTCAATTCCCGGAAGGATGCTCAAAATATAAAAAGGAAAATAAAGAGGAAGCTAGAGGCAGGAGAGAGACAGACAAGTACAGATATGGACAGTGACAGTGAGAAAGACGAGGAAAGGCAGACGCGAAGAAATCATAGCAATTTATCTAAGCATCACATCAAAATTTACTTTTCTGTAGTAAGAAATCATCATACTTCTTTAGTTATCGAAGTGAATTAGAGCTACTTTGGGTAATGTTATTATTGCAGTTCCTTAATTTTTTCCTACCAGTGGTAAGAACAAGTTAAAAATATTACTAGTTTAACACCTCGTGTTGTAGCCGTGATTATCTAGAATGAGAAGCTGAATTCGTCATTGATTTAAGAACATAAGAACATAAGAACGAAGGAACACTGCAGCAGGCCTACTGGCCCATGCGAGGCAGGTCCAAGTCTCCTACCGGCTTAAGCCAATGCACCCAACCTAGTCAGGTCAGTTGTGATGAATGGTTTGAAAAACCGACAAGTTGAAGATTGAGACACTTATGCAGCATATGGGAATCTTTATTCAGGAAACGTTTCGCCACACAGTGGCTTCATCAGTCCAATACAAAGAGGAAGAACATTAAAATGGTATGAAATACCGACAGATTGTTAGGTAAGACACATATGCAACAGTTAGGTATCTTTATTTCGAAACGTTTCGCCTACACAGTAGGCTTCTTCAGTCGAGTACAGAAAGGTTGATAGAAGCAGAAGATACTTGAAGACGATGTAATCAGTCCATCACCCTTAAAGTTTTGAGGTGGTCAGTCCCTCAGTCTGGAGAAGAGCATTGTTCCGTTGTCTGAAACAATATTGTTTCAGACAACGGAACAATGCTTGTTCAACCTTTGGACAAAGACCTACTTCGACTAGTGGATGATACCACTATGATCCCGCCTCCGTCTGGTTCAAGTCACCTCACTACAGTATATAAGCCACGTCTACGGCCCTATGCTGTACATTCTACAAGATTGATGGACTGAACACATCGACTCCAGGCTGAGGGACTGATTACCTCATACTCCTCCTCTCCTTACGCCTTCCTCTTTGTATTGGACTGATGAAGCCACTGTGTGGCGAAACGTTTCCTGAATAAAGATTCCCATATGCTGCATAAGTGTCTCAATCTTCAACTTGTCGGTTTTTCAAACCATTCATCACAACTGTCAGACACTGCAGCATTATGGGATCTTCTTACAAAGAATTCTTCAACGCTTGTTCAACCTTTGGACAAAGACCTACTTCGACTAGTGGATGATACCACTATGATCCCGCCTCCGTCTGCTTCAAGTCACCTCACTACAGTATATAAGCCACGTCTACGGCCCTATGCTGTACATTCTACAAGATTGATGGACTGAACACATCGACTCCAGGCTGAGGGACTGATTACCTCATACTCCTCCTCTCCTTACGCCTTCCTCTTTGTATTGGACTGATGAAGCCACTGTGTGGCGAAACGTTTCCTGAATAAAGATTCCCATATGCTGTAATAAAGTTGGTAGAATTACCGACAATATGTAAAGTAAAAGGACACAAGTGCAACTAATGTGACATTTATTGTGGCAACGTTTCGCTCTCCAGGAGCTTTATCAAGCCATTACAAACAATACATGGACACAGAGGATATATAAAGGCTCAGAGTGAGGTGAATACTAGTGAGGTACCATTTCGATGTTCACTAGTGGTAGTAGTAGTAGTAGTGGTAGTGACAAAAGTAATATAATATGTAAAGTAAAAGGACACAAGTGCAACTAATGTGACATTTATTGTGGCAACGTTTCGCTCTCCAGGAGCTTTATCAAGCCATTACAAACAATACATGGACACAGAGGGTATATAAAGGCTCAGAGTGAGGTGAATACTAGTGAGGTACCATTTCGATGTTCAATAGTGGTAGTAGTAGTAGTAGTAGTAGTGGTAGTGACAAAAGTAATACAATATGGTAGAGCAATTAATTCGTACATGAGTAAAAGGATATAAAAGCTATTACTTGGGTAACATAAAAATAGGTTGGACAAATATAAACTGGAATGAGGCAGCTTGTTTCAGTGTTCACTCTCTGTGCTTTGTGTAGTATAACAGGAGAGACTATGTGTGGCAGGGTTTACTGTTTTCAGGAGGATTAGTGATAAAATTAGTGATAAAAGAAACTAATTTCCGCACACGCAAGCACTGATCGCTGTTTCGAATACAATTAAACAAAACAACGGCAGCTTCACCATCTCCGAAGTCTTAGCAAGAATCCTCCTGAAAACAGTAAACCCTGCCATCACATAGTCTCTCCTGTTATACTACACAAAGCACAGAGAGTGAACACTGAAACAAGCTGCCTCATTCCAGTTTATATTTGTCCAACCTATTTTTATGTTACCCAAGTAATAGCTTTTATATCCTTTTACTCATGTACGAATTAATTGCTCTACCATATTGTATTACTTTTGTCACTACCACTACTACTACTACTACTACTACCACTAGTGAACATCGAAATGGTACCTCACTAGTATTCACCTCACTCTGAGCCTTTATATACCCTCTGTGTCCATGTATTGTTAGGTAAGACACATATGCAACAGTTAGGTATCTTTATTATGAAACGTTTCGCCTACACAGTAGGCTTCTTCAGTCAAGTACAGAAAAGTTGAACATTAAAATGGTATAAAATACCGACAGGTTGTTAGGTAAGACACATATGCAACAGTTAGGTATCTTTATTGTGAAACGTTTCGCCTACACAGTAGGCTTCTTCAGTCAAGTACAGGAAAGGTTGATAGAAGCAGAAGATACTTGAAGACGATGTAATCAGTCCATCACCCTTAAAGTTTTGAGGTGGTCAGTCCCTCAGTCTGGAGAAGAGCATTGTTCCATAGTATGAAACAATATGTTTCATACACATTTTGTTTCATACTATGGAACAATGCCTTCTCCAATGGGGGACTGACCACCTCAAAACAAAAAGGGGTGATGGACTGTTTACACGTCTTCAAGTATCTTCTGTTTCTATAAACCTTTCCTGTACTTGACTGAAAACCTACTGGTGGGCAAACTTTTCACAAAAAAGATCCAAACTGTTGCATATGTGTCTACCTAACACACAGAAAAGTTGATAAAGCAGAAATACTTGAAGACGAGTAACACCTCCCCCTTAAAGTTTTGAGGGGTCAGTCCCCATCTGGAGAAGAGCATTGTTCCAAGTATGAAACAATAGGGAAAAGAATGACGGGAGGAGCCTTTTTAAGCGCCAAAGGTGGACGTAGGCCCTAGGAGAGGTAACAACTCAGATTTGAGAGGTCGGGCCCCTCAAATCCACCCTCTCACTAGTGAAGTTGTCGAAGCTGGTTTTTGAAGGACCGACCCTCAACACGAGTTGTTCCCTCTCCTAGTGCCACGCCACCTCTTGGCGCTAAAAAAAGAGCTCCTCCTTCACTTCTTTCCCATATTGTTTCAAATATGAACAATGCTCTTCTCCAGACTGAGGGGGTGACCACCTCAAAACTTTAAGGGTGATGGACTGATTACATCGTCTTCAAGTATCTTCTGCTTCTATCAACTTTTCTGTACTTGACTGAAGAAGCCTACTGTGTAGGCGAAACGTTTCATAATAAAGATACCTAACTGTTGCATATGTGTCTTACCTAACAACCTGTCGGTATTTTATACCATTTTAATGTCCATGTA